CCCTCCCGCCTGCACCCCCTTGACAGGTACGGCGGCTCCCTTGCGGCGTCCAACTCCGACGCGAGCGAGAGGCTGGGTGGCGGGCCCTACCAAGGCCAGTTCAGCAGCGCCGTCGCCGGTCAAGTGAGTGCATGATTATGCGGCCCAGCCGCTGGTCTCTCGCATTTCTGACCACCGGGCAATTTCCGCATCACCCTGCGCAATAGCAATACGCTGCCGCACCAGCTTCGGGGCAGGGCTGACTTTCCATCGCGCTGCATGCACTGCAGCACAGCCGCGCGATATCATTTTGGGGACTTCAGGCTTTCAACTTTTTGCCATGTTTACGCTTCATCGCGTCTGTCCTGACACCTCCAACAACCTTGCGTGCCCGCAGGTGACCTCCAACGGCCTTGACCGTGCCGACTCCATTGGCGGCCGCCGCGGCGGCGGTGGTGGCGGCAGCGGTGGCAGGAGGGGCGGCGGCTCCCGCGGCTCCGACAGCAGCTCTTATGGCGGCTTTGGCGACTCTGGCTTCGGCGGCCAGACCTCGTTCGCCGGCGCCCAGACGTTCGATGCAGTCGCCTACGGCGTCAGCGGGACCGGCGGCCCCGTCGCCGTCGCCGCCGCCGGCGAGGCGCTGGCGGTGTCTCAGGCGGGGAGCAGCGGCTGGGCCGGCAACGCCATGCCGGCCAGGCTGAACGTGGAGAAGGATCGCAACCCGTGACACATCTCTGTGGGCTGAACGCCATACGTGCGGTCGCGTCGTGCATGATGGGCATCCCCATCCGCTGACCCTGTTTCGTTCCTTTGACCTGAGCGTACTGTTTGCACTCCCGTACGACAAACTGTCCCAAAATTTTGGTAGTGCATTGCGGCAACTGCACATGCACTGCATTTTCCACCATTCTCTTTATCCCTGTGTACTGTTCTTGCCACCGCTTCTGCCGCTGCGCAACGTGTGCGAAGCTGGTTGGTTTCTTGCGTACATCCATCCACGTGCGCACAACGTCCATTTGCACTGCAAACAGGTGCACGTTTCATTTTGAGGTGTGGTGATGATATTGTTGACCGCCTGTTTTGCCATGCAAACAGCGGGTCGTGCCAATCTGGTCATGTTCTTCCACTCCACACACTAGCAAACCGCCCGTGCATTGCACTGTCAAGAGGGTATGTGCGCTGTTTATAGGCCGTCGTGCATTTTGTGCATACTGCAGAGCCCAGCCGCGAGGCTGGCTCATACTTTTGTGGCTGTGCACGTGTTGCAGTACACCTTATATGCGTGGCTTGCACACTGCCGTGGCCCCGTGTACTCGGCCCCCTCGAGCGCCAGCTGCGGCCGTCGGTGCTGCACTAGCTGCTGCGATGCAGCTTGCACACCACCCTGTTCATTCCACCCACTGCAAAGCGTGGGCACGTCCTGCTGTTCCTGCCTTGTCAGATACGACCCGTACGTGTAAATATCTGATGCATGAGCTGTCGAGCCTGACAATCAAAGCCTAGAGTAGAGTACAGTAGAGCAGAGCGGACGCTGGGCACCCAGTTTTTGACAAGGATGGGCGCATGGGTCAGGGCAACCACCCATCCTCTTGCTGCCCCACCGGTGCGGGGAGCCCAGGGACCCCCCGCTCGGCGCTGAGGGGATCCCAGGTGACGCCCTTGGGCTGACCCTTGTGGTGTCGTCTGGCGCACACCTTGCGCCGATGATTTCGAGCGGACAGGCGCGGCACCTGCGTGGCCGTGCGTGCAACACCACGGGCTTCAGGCTCCCACCACTGCCGCGTCCGTGGCGCCCCGTGCGCGCCTTGCCGCCGCTGCTTCCGCCCAGATCCCTCAAGCACCCGGCGCGCGATGATGACCCGTTGGGTATTACACAAAGCCCTGCCATGCAGGTCACGGCGCATGCGGGCGACAAACCAGCGGGCGACGGAAGACGGGCTCACGCCCCTTCAGATTGCGCTGCTGACCAACTCTCTTGACTATTGGTAGGGCCCTGCCTTTGCCCTCTGGCTAAAAAGGAGGTGTGAGTGCTGTGCTGCCCTGTTGCTGCTGCGCAGTTGGCCAAATTGCCCGCCTGTCAGCCCCACCCTTCGATCCAGCAGGGGCAATGTTGCGCTGTGCACATCTGATGCATATGTGGGCTTTGACAATAAGATTAGGGTGTTGTGATATGGTCAATTGACAGTATGTTGCCCTTGTTGCCTGTAAGGTGACACCTGTGCCATAGGCCGGGCAGCTAGTTGCAGGGCATGATAATGCGGTGTACCGCACAGCCACGTACCCCACCGTTACAGTAAGGTCTCCCACTCCAATCTGAGGGATGATGATTTCTGACTGATTCGAACACCAAGATTGATGGACGTGCGTAATTTCAGCGCGGCAAACCCGCGCATCATTCAGTGGTTGATGGTGTCCGGGTGGACGTCCGGTGTCCTGCACGCACCATTCAAGCATGGGTCGTGTGAATCCGGAAATGTGCGCAATTCAAGGTTTAACGGCCTCCTCACCCCGAATCACCCCCGACGCACCACACTCACTCAGGTGCCCGACCCTCGTGCTGCTGCAACGCAGCTGTACTGGACCACGAGCACATCGGAGCCACCGGGGCATTAGAAAGGCTCAAAGCAGGTAATTGTGATTCATCAGCAACAGCGCCGTCCAGAGAAACAAGCAGTCATACACCGATCCAGTGCCCGTCGTCATTCGATCCTAGCTAGCTCGGCCGGCTTCTGACACGACCATCGTTGCGGCCCCCCGACTGTTTCTTGAGAACGAACGTCTAGTATAAACAAATAAGCCACACACCTAGCAACCGTATCATATCAACTGCTTTTGCTATCACACCACCCTGAACGAGACACGCTTCAACAACAACCGGTGAGTTGGAGTTGGCCGGGACGGGCCTTCCCAGATTGACGATGGATCAGTGGTAGCCGGTCAGGCGCAGGTTGCTGCCTCATAATTGTATCCGGCTGCGCACCCGCAGCGGCCGCCTGCCGTGCTGCACAGTGCCGGTGGATGATGAACTGCCGACCACAGGCGCCCCTGGTTGGGCCGGCGTGTAAACCAGGATAGAGCTGAGTGCGCCTACGTGGTGGCCCAGTCTCACCAGTTGTCACAACAAGCTTCCTTCCTTTCTATCCTGCTCGCTGCCGAGCTGCAGATCTAGGCAACGCTCTGCACCAAACCAAGGCGGCGGCCTTCCTCCAGCCCACCCAACAAGAGTGTCCACTCTGAGGGCAACCAACACCCACAGAACGGGGCATATGCAAGGCATGCAGCGCTTGCTGCTTGTGCTGGTGCTCCTGGCGGTCACAGGTGCGACCTCGCGGCGCTGCAGGAGCCCTTGCCTGCAAACGAACTTCACCCAGCTGGGTGCACACACCCGCCTGCCACCGGCCGGCGCTGGCTCCCAACCGCTTATGAAACATCGGGCAGTGGCGCATTTGATGCACTGAGCTTCTACAGGAGATGCGCCTGATTCTCAATACCCCTGGCAGCGCGGCCCTGGCAGTGCTCAAAGCTAAGCTGGTGTCCAACTCACGACTCAACCAACACCAACATTGCATGGCCTTGCAGGCGGCAGCGACGCGGCGCGCCTGCTGCGCCAGATCGTCCAGTCCGAGGTTGTGCGGCAGAATCCTGCGTACGCGCCGACGCTGGCGACCACAGTGGGCTCTAACGGCGGTCAGGCGGCCGCGCTCTCCAACCCCAACAGCGCAGGTGCGTGGGTGGCCCCGACTTCGTGCTTGTGCGTCCCCGCAGAGGGCCCCGCGCTGTGAGGTCTGACGGTGACACCAGACCTCACCTCTGTTGCCACGAGCGGTTGTGGCAGACTCGGATGCTAGACCTCTCGCCCTGCAGCCCCATGCACACGCACCGCAGGCGTCTTGACTGCAGCCCCACGCTTGTGCACAGCAGCCGCAAGCCCTTGCGCCTGCCCACGGCCCCCATCCGCGCACTCACCGCAGGTGTCTTTGTGCAATCCGGCCGCGTCGCCTCGGCCGGTGACCTGCTGCCCGGCCCCACCGGCCGCGTCGCCGCCGGCGGAGCAGGGGGCACCGGCGGCGCCCTCCAGTCGGGCCTGGGCGAGCTGCCCATTGTCTCCACTGGCACGATAGCGGCCGCATCTACTTATGGCTCGGGGGGCGCCGCTGTGGCCGTGGCGGCGCCGAGCGCGTATTACGTCGGCGGCGGCTCTCGCGCCACCGCCATCGGCGACGTGACTGGCCTGTGAGTAGAAGGATCAGGGGGGACAGCGCGGGCCCTCCGCGCCCTGCGGCGAGTGTGTTTGTAGCGTTGCTTGCAGCGTTGCTTGCAGCCTCACAAATCGAATGTGGTCGATGTAACGCACAGTGCCGCGCACAGCTTGCTGCCGCTCACCCTTCTCGCCTGCACCCCCTTAACAGGTACGGCGGCTCCCTCGCGGCGTCCAACTCCGACGCGAGCGGGCGGCTGGGTGGCGGGCCCTACCAGGGCGATTTCAGCAGCGCTGTTGCCGGTCAAGTGAGTGTTTGATCTCGAGACGCAGCGGCTGGCCTCGCGCCTGTGACGTCCAAGCAAAGCCTGCGACAGTCTGCGCCACAGCAGCGCCACCGCGTAGGTTCCGAGGCAGGCCTTGCTTTGCTTCGGACTGCACGAGTTGCAGCACAGCCTTGAGCTTGTTTCTGAAGTTGGATGGTCGGGGTCACCCCTTGTAGCAGCGCCCCGGCCTCATCACGCCGCTCCCCTTGCTCTCTTGCAGGTGGCCTCCAACGGCCTTGACCGCGCCGACTCCATCGGCGGCCGCCGCGGCGGCGGTGGCGGCGGCGGTGGCAGGAGGGGCAGCGGCTCCCGCGGCTCTGACAGCAGTTCCTATGGCGGCTTTGGTGACTCTGGCTTTGGCGGCCAGACCTCGTTCGCCGGCGCCCAGACGTTTGATGCAGTAGCCTACGGCGTCAGCGGGACCGGCGGCCCGGTCGCTGTTGCTGCCGCTGGCGAGGCGCTGGCGGTGTCTCAGGCCGGCGGCGGCGGCTGGGCCGGGGACTCAATGCCGGCCAGGCTGAACGTGGAGAAGGATCGCAACCCGTGACGCGACACTGTGGACTGAATGCCACCCGTACGGTCATGTGGTGCATGATGGGCATCCCCATGCCCGCTGACCCTGTTTCATTCCTGTCGGCCCGAGCGCACTGTCCACACGCATGAATGACAAACTTTTCCAACCTCGGGGTGGTGCATTGCGACAACCGCACATGCACTGAACTATCCGCTATCTTCTTCATCCTGTGTACTGTTCCCGCTGACGCTTCAGCCGCTGCGCAAGGTGCGCGAAGCCAGCGCGTTTCTCGCACAAATCCATGTGCGAGACGTTCCTGTGTGCACTGAGAGTAGGTGCACACCGGCGTTTTATTTTGAGGTGTGGTGGACACATATCGTTCACAGCCTGATTTGCCATGCAATCAGCAGGTCGTGCCCAACTGATCTTATTTTTTTTCTTGTACCTGCACACATTGGCAGGCCACCCGTGCCTTACCATGAGGGTGTTTGCGCTGTTTATTGGTTGTTGTTCATTTCATGTGTATTGCAGAGCCCAGCCGCAAGGCTGACCCCCTTTTTTGGATGTGTATGTGCTGCAGTACACCTATATACATGGCTTGCAAACTGCCGTGGCACCGTTCACCCCTGGAGCGCTGGCTGTGGCCGATGGTGCTGCACTAGCTGCTGCAATTCAGCTTTCAAATCACCCTGTTTACTCCACCCACTGCAAATTGTGGGCACGCCCTCCTGTTCTCGCCTTGTCAAGTACATCCATACCTGTAAAGGTTTATGTATAAGCTGTCGCTCCTGCTATTCTAAAGCCTGGACTCACTCCATGCAGTGACGCGCCCTCCACACCTAGCCTTGCGTTGAGGCGCTTGCCTTGCTGCCACGGCCATCCTTGTGCCGTTCTTCTCACCGCGTGTGCAAGTCTTCTGGGTGATTGGAAACACCAAGGCAGCAGCTCATTTGCAGCTGCGGCTCACAGCCTGCGCTGGCAATGACGGCCACCCAGCATGTTGCCACCATTCTGTGCGACCACGGGCCAGACATCGTGACCTTGTTGTTCTCGGTCGTTGCCTCAGGCAGAGATCAATTGTAATATTGCTTGTAGAGTCACCGGATAATTGCGGGCTGCTCCAGGGGCGCGTCCTGTCCTGTATCCTGACTGTTTCGGTCAGCCGAACCTCATCAGAAGCCATGCGGGGACTGGCCTCGGTGATGGTGTTCAAGATGAATCATTTCACAAACAGAAGAACATTTTGTTGATTGATACACCTCGTTCGCGTGCAGCGATTCAGATCCGGCCACAGCAGCAGCAGCCCAAAGCTTGAGCTGTACGTAACAACGCACGGCAGGGATGAATTTCAGCTAATCCGGGGACGTGATGGGGCAGCGCGGCATGCGGCGCAGCACGCCTGCAAGTTGACCATTCCGCCGCTGCCGTGCCGCTTCAAGCGCACGGCTGCGGCGGTAGCAGCGCCCTGCAGGCCCGGCAGGGGGGAGCTGCATGAGAAGGGAGCTGACATGTGTCATCATAATGATCGCATTCGCCGACCTGCTGTCAGGTGTGCTCGGCGCCTGCCGACCGGTGATCGCTGCTTCCAAGGGATGTTGTCATGCGCTGCAGCGGCTGTCTTGCCCAACAGGCCCAGAGAGCCTCACGCCCCCGCAATCAGTCCCCACATCAGCCGCGCCCGTGACATTGCCCGCAGCCGAGCCGCGCGCCCGGACCCGCACAACCTTTGCGCCCGCGCACTGCGCCCGCCGCCTCCTCGCCGCAGCCGCCCGCGCCGCGCGCCTGCTGCGCCAGACCACTGAAACCTACGTCGGCGCCGGCATCGACAAATCCGTGGCCCTCAAGGGCTTCTCATCCACTGACCACGCCGAGGCCCTCGCGATAGCGCAGAGCCTCGGCATTGAACATGACGAGGCCTCTATCTCTGCCGTCTCTAGCGGCCGCTTCCCCGGCCCCTCCTCCAGTGTAGTCACCGACGACGTGGACGAGGACGCCGGCGGCGGCACCCCCATCATATCCCTCGCCACGTTCGGCGCGACCGCCGTCGCGTCGACGTCCGGGGGCGCCGTCGCGGTCGCGGGGTCGGAGGCGATGCCGATGGCCGCGCCGATCGGGGCGCCGGGCACCGCGATGAGCACCACGATCACGAGCTTCACGCCGACGACGATACCCAAGGGCACCGGCAAGCTGGGTGACGTCATGCTGATGTCAATCGGGGCAAACAACAAGGCGGCGGGCAGCTTCTCGGAGTCCGAGGCGGGGGACGGTCCGCACGCGATCTCCGCTGCGGGCGAGGCCGTGGCCAGTGCATACAGCTCTAAACCCGAGGATTAGGGCGGCGTGCTGGCCGATGGCTGTGGACGCCCCATACATGAGAATCATGCGAGCGGCACTGCCTGAAATGCCTTACACGATGCGCGGAGCGTGTTTTCATCATGCGTGTGGCCCACGCCATTCCTGCACCATATCAGGCCAGCAGCACATGGGGCTATGATGTTCCGCGTGGGTGGGCGGCCGCCCCCCGTCCCGGCAAGACTGTCTTTCCTGCTTCAGCCTGCCCGAATGCGCCCCTGCGCGCCCTCAGGGCGCCACCCAAGCAGACTCCTTTGGGGGCGCCTGACTTTCTTGCAATGCACAACACCGCGCGCCCCTTCGCAAATCAGCGGCCATGAAGCGCCGCATGCCCCCATCAGTGAGCCGCTTCCTTCTTCCTGTCACACAACGCTGAAAGGTCCATGCGCTTGCTGTTGCTGCGGAACGCGGGTGAGAGGGGTTGCATATTACGCTTCGCTCTCCCAAACTGGCCCAGCGGCCTGACGGGCGCGGCGCGGCGCGGCTGCGACTGCAGGCGTCAACAGTCAACGACACCTCTTTTTCCAACCAACTCGCTCCGTGGCCAGCCCCGCTGAATCCATCATGAACCGTGGGGCTGTGTGCTCAACGGCGGCACCGGCACATGCTGACACCATACATCACATTTGCAGCAGTATGCTACCGCACAGCCATGCCTCTGGCTCTCCTCTCTCGCCGCAATGTGCAACCGGCACACACAGAGCTCTGAAGCTGTGTGGACACGTCACCATGAAATTGTGTGCATCTGTGTTTTTCGTGGCGGCAGCATGAACAGCACCGACGGGAATTTGATGTTCACTTCATCCAACTCTACCTGAAGCAGCTTCACTGCTCCCTACCGCTGGCTCACCACCCCACTTTGCTTTCCTTGATGCTGACAAAGCGCATCGCTTTTTTGCGCTCTCACTCAAAGCCTCGATTGCTCTTAGATGCAAGTGCACTGCAACCTCAAGCAACCCCGCCCCCAGAATCAACTGGCAAAGGCAGATGACGGTTACAACCATATGCAGGCACGCCGAGGAAGAGCTGCTCATCAGCGCTTTGGTTCAGCCGAAGGGATGCAACAGGTGGTCCAACACGCAATCTGCCCGGGTGAATGCGCTGGACCCCCTTCCATAATAATCAAAACGTGTGCAGCACGACTGCAGACGCTTTAAAAGCAAGCCGCCTCGGCAGGCGCCACTCCACAACGCCTTGCGTGCGCGCCGCCACGCGGCCCCGCGACAGTGCAGCTTGGGCTGGCAGGCTCAAACATCTGGGCGAGTGCAGACTGTGTTGTGACAAAATGGTGACAGGATTTCTTGACGGCATCAAGCTCTGGTATCAAATCACCACCCAAATGGGCATGAACATACCCATTTGGGTCAATGAGAACCCGAAATGCAAGCTGCGCTCGTCAAAACTTGTGTGCTAGGCCGCGCCAGGGTCAGATTAGCACCCCAGGCGCAAGGGGACGCACGCAATAGGTCTGAGAGCCCCTGGCGGGGTTGTGATGGCGCGTGCGAGCGCGTGTGCGCGCCCTTTGGGAAAGTGAGGGTAGCATTTTGATTGCTCACCGCACCAGATCCAAACGCAGGCCAAAACTCAGGGTGCAGCCCTGCTGATGGCGCAGCCGATTGCCTCATACCATACAGGCGCATCAAGCGCTGCTGTTTTGGTGCCCTCCAAAACAGCGGACTGGACGCTGTCTATGGACTTTGAAATTGCAGAGTCCACAAGCGTATCCCACAATAATAACAAAGTAAGTGAATGGGGGACGCCTAAAAATGCAACAGAAGGCGTTCTGCACATGTCGTGGTGGTCTGGACGTGCACGCGGCACTGCCAGGGATGGGCTGGAAGGGGCAGCCGCAAACGCGTAAGTTCTCGCCCACTTGAGAAACCAGTGGACCGCTTTCATGACATTTCACCCAAGCGCCGCTGCATCGGCATCACTCCTCGGAATGTAGTAGGGCACACGCGAGTACACGACGGCGTGCTGAGCAGTGCGGATACCAGGGCGTGCGGTATGTCGCGGGCCCGCGCCCGCAACGAGGGCGTGTGGTACACCGAAGGGACGTAAACCCTACGTAGAGTGGATTTGGAGGCTGGTTCAACGCCTGTGATTTGCGAATCGGCGCAGCACGCGTCCCCGCTGTTGGCGGCAGCAAACGGCCGAGCACTGGCCCGGCCGGCCGGCCGCCGCCGCCGGCTGCACGCCAGGGGTTCGCCCCGGGGCAGCCAGCCTCGGTACGGTCGTGCCTGCTGACGTGACGTTTGCAACTCGTAAAGTACAGTAGATACGCTCGAGAATCTTGTCGGAATAAGATGCTTGGAATACTCTCCAGCCGCCGTGGGACGCAGGTCTTGGGGTCAGCCACACAAGCACGGGCTCAGCGGGCGCCGATTGGTGGGCGGGTACTACTGCCACATGCTCTGCTGCAGCCCCAGGCGCCCCTCAAGCCGCGCCCGCGCCTCCGCGGCCTCCCGCCTCGCTAGCGCCGTCGCCAGCCGCGCGGCCGCCGCCGCCGTTGCTGTCGTAGCCGCGGCGACGTCGGCGTCTGCGCGGCGCGGGCCGCAGCGCGAGAGTGCCCCCAAGTCCACGGTCGCGCTGCCAGACAGGCCGCCGCGGCCGGCCGGCCTCGCCAGTTTCGCGCAGGCAAAGCGCGAGGTGCCTTGGACAAACAACAGCCCGTCGCCGCCGGCGCGGGCCGCCGCAGACCCGGCCTCCCGCCGCGCCCACGACGGCGAGAGCCGCCGCGCTGCCGCGCCGCCGAGCACCGCGGCGTCCCCCAGATCATCAAACTCCGCGCCCGCCTCGGACGCGTCGAGCGCGTCCGAGGTTAGCGCGTCGATGCCGGCGGAAGACAAGGGGGAGAGCGACGACTGAGGTGAGGGCGGGGAGGGCGCCAGCTGCGACGGCGGCGCTGCACTGCAGTCGGCGTCGGGGCCAGCCCCTGCGGGCACAAGCACGCCGCCGTCAGGGCTGCCGCTTGCGGGCGCCAGGAGCCGCCACGCGGCCGCGCGGCTGGCGGCGGCACGCGCCCGCGCCGCGGCCCCTGGCTGCTGGCACCGCCGCAGCTCTTCCTCTTGTTCCTCCTCCCCCTCTGCCTCCTCCTCCTCCCCCTCTGCCTCCTCCGCCGCCGCCGCAGTCAAAGGGCACGCCTCCCTGCCGGCAAAAGGCGAAGACAGCACTCCCTCCAGGGCCCCCTCCACCCCGCCCTCCGCCCCGGCGTCGCCCGCCGCGGCAACCCCCGCCCACTGCGCCAGCAGCTGCTCCAGCAGCCCCGGGCGCGCGAGCATCTCCCCGTGGCGCGCGGCGGCGTCGAACACGACGCGCGCGGCGGGCGCCTCGGACGCGAGCCAGCGGCGGACGCCGGCGGCCTCGCACAGGCGGTCGCGGCCGCCGAGGTACACCAGGGTGTGGCGCGGCAGCTCGTCTGCCCACAGGTTGACGTCGCTCCAGTAAAACTCCCTGCATTTCGCAATGCAGGGCACAACGGGGATATGACAAAAATACAGGGATGCTCGACTATGCTTGTGCAGGGCTTCATGACTATGTTTACACCTCAGCATCCCGGCCACGCAGTCGGGGCGCGCTACCTTGTGCCAACCACGTGCCGTCCCCACCCCTGCTGCGGAGGTTGGGGCCACCGCACAGCCCCACCCCACACGTGCTGCTTTGCGCACCCAGGGCCGAATCCAACTGCCGCCCCGCTCTGCATCGCAGGCCCCTGATCCACATCACCAACCTGCAGAACGTGGCTGTCATGTGGATTTCACGCGACACAAGGTACCTGCCGGTGGGCGGTTACGTGCAGGGAGGGGATGGGGACGACGACGAGGTGAGGCCGATCCGACATCACCGCCCGGCCGGCCGCCAACACGGGATGGGGGCGCCGTGTCGGGTGGGGCCCGCGGCCGCCGGCGCCCCTCAGGCCAGGGCGGCGGAACTCAAGCTAGGAGTTGGGGCCCAGCCTCCCAACTGCGCACAGCTGCCGCGAAGGTGGTGCAGCCCTGTGGCCGCGCATCCACGGCGCTGCTAGGGCTGCGCAGGACACCAAAGCAAGCTGACAGTGCACGCTTGACTTCCAGATGCAGGCCCCATGGACAAGCGCCCCTCCCAAAAACAAATGTGAATAGAGAGATACTTACAGTCCCAGGTCCAGGATGGGGTGGCCGCTGGACGGAAATGAGTAGAGGAACGTGCGCAGCAGCGCGGGCATGAACATCCCGAAGCACACGGGGTCCATGAGCGCCAGGCTGGAGACGGCCTTGGGGTGCAGCCGGCAGAGCCGCGCGGCCACCAGGCTGCCATAGGAGTGGGCCACGACGTGCACCTGTGGGTTGGGATTTGATGATGCGCGTTGTGGGGCGAGATTGTTTTGTGGGGTGCGGGGTGCGCACCTCGGAGGTTTGTGAATGATGGTATGCCAGTCAACAAGGTGTTGGATGAGCGGTGACGCGATGGTCGCAGCGCCAGGCGTGCGGCGCCCAGGCAGAGGGTCGAGAGGTTTTGCAGGTGGACGCGTGGCGCCACGAACGGGGCCATTGTGCCTGCAGTGGCTGCATTTGTCACGCGGCAGGCGCCGCAGGCAACCCCTGCTGCACACTAGAGAACCCGGGCACAATGATCTGAGCAACTACATTGCCAAGATTCTGATTTGAGTTCGTGGCGATCGATGCAAGAGGCTGCTGCTGTTGTCGCACCTTCTCGTGGCCTATCAGCTGCAGGAAGGCGGTCGTTGATGCCACGAGCTGCTCGATGGTGGGGATGTCATCGGTCAGCCGCATGCTGATGTGGCGGAACTCAGGGACCACCAGGGGGCGGCCTGGGGGCCGAGAGGGCAGGCAGGCGAAGGGGCAGGTGGATCCGCGTGGAAACGCCGCTGTGCTTGTGCTGTGGCGGCACAATCCGCACGGTTGTAGCCACCCGGCCCTCGCATGCAGGGCCTGGGTGCTGCACTCCTCCGCCCTGTACCAGTGACCAACCTCCACGAGACCGGCCTGCGCAGTGCACAGACGCGCAGGGCGCGTGCGAGGCAGACTCGCTGCTGCCACCGTCCATGCCACACAAGCGAGCCCCCACGCACCTGTGCCCGCCAGCCTGAGGATGAGTCCGAGGTAAGGGACCACGCCAGCCCCCACCCCGTGGAGCAGCAAGACGGGCGCCTGCGCGGCTGCCTCGGCCCCTTCCCGGCCGTAAGCGCCGGCCGGCGGCGGCGGGCACCCCGCGAGGGTGTAGTAGACGCGGCCCCCCACGACGTGGCGCTCGAAGCCGGCGGCCTGGGGGTTATGGAGGTGGCGTAAGAGGGTGAGGGGTGAAGTCTGCGGTCCTAGCCAGCAAAGCACGGCCGAGCATCGGCGGGATGCAGCAGGCCCAGTGTGCTGCAGCTGGGCGGCGCCGCAGCTGCGTCCAAGCAACAGCGGCGCAGTTGCGTCCAAGCAACAGCGGCGCGAGCCGGGCTTCCAGCATAGGTTTAGGTGCGGAGGGGACGGCCGCTGGGAGGGCGCTGCGCACTCACCCACATCACGGCGCGGCCCACGAGGCCAATTAGCTCAGTGCACGCGTAAAATACGAGGGGGCGGAAGCTGGCGGGAAGGTCATCGTGGAGGTGTGACATGAACGGCAGGCCCGGGGTGTGGCCGTCCTGCGTGGCGAGTTGATGAGCGCACGCAGCAGGGGGCTGTTCAAAGAGGTGTGGCGCCTGCGGGCCGGCGGGAGGGCCCCTCTGTGGCAGCCGGTGGCCGCACTTGCCCCGGCGCCCAGGCGGGGCGGCGCCGGGGCCGTCGTACCGACTGGCAAGGGCCAGCCGGCGCGGGGTGGCCGCTGGGGTCATCAAGATGCTTCCCACCCAAAACAAGAACGATACCAGGGAGCTGTCTGCTGCTGCAGCCCCACTGTGATTCACTGCATCCCAGGCTGCCCTGCAGTCCCATGGTCCCAATGTGTCATTTCATGACCCCTCTCCTGGTCCTGTTTCCCAGTTTGTAGTACCCCGCAATTCCAATCCCCTCCGCATGTGCGCACCCCCGACCCCTCACCACCTTCACCCTCACTTTAACACTTTACATCCACCCCCTCCCCAC